GGTCTGTCTCTCTAATTACTGCTGTGCTCATGTCTGATTTTTGCACACATACCTTTTCTCTAAAAGCGGGCAACTCAGTACAGTGACTCTTTGATCACCTGGACACACACCAATGACAATATGTTACGACGAATGCAGACTTTCCAATATGTGCTCCATATTGACTTCAAACGGATGTACACATGATGAATTCCCTGTCCAGACACTGAAGCATGCAGGGAATGAAATGGAAATCCTATCAAACTCAATACTGCATCATCTTGCGGTGTTACAAAAAAACATAGAGACAGACGTACAGTCTGCAAACACGCAAAACAAGTAATACCTTCCCCTTCCTCACACACATAACACATATGAACCCCGTTGCTCACACACACACACACACACACACACACACACACACACACACACACATACACACACACACACACACGCCTCCCAAATGAATCACCCTCCCAAGTGCTTAGCATCATCAGCATTCCCTGAATCAGCCGTGACTGCAGAGCACAACTGCATGACATGAGAGTCTCAGGGGTCAAATGAAATGCACACTCAAAGTGCCACTTCATCTTCAAGGCATAACAGTGAGCAGCAGCTCAAGTGCAAACTCAAATAATGCCGGATTGTGTCAGCCATTGTGCTCCTCTCGCCAGTTAAAAAAGCTTGCATGGTGGTACATTGTAAGCCCAGACCCTTTTTGCACTTTTCTGCAGCCACGCATGACTTCTCCCCAAACGGGCTCTCCTCCAGCCCCTACTGTCTGTTTATGTAGACTACCACCAGGGCGGCATGGAATGCACCTCCAACACACTCCGCTCACACACATCTCTGAGACGAGGAGTCTGCCTCAACCTGCTGATATGGGCTGTTTGTGTTTTACTTTTACACGGGGCTAAATGTTTTGATTAAAAGGCCGTTACTATTTTGCTAGTCACAATGGCTTTGTAGTGGAGGGGTTTGCGGCCGTGCTGATGGACGGACGGCCGCTCCCTGCCTCCAGTGAGCGGTTGAATGAGAGAGGAGCTGTCATCACCCGGCTGCCGACACTGTTGCCTGAAGAGAGAGGAAGGCGGGGGGGGCGGCAAAGAGAGTAGGATTTGGATGGAGAGCAAGTGACAGACAATGTGTGGAAGTGGGAGAAGATGTCAGGGAAATGAGTAGGCCTACAGAGAGAGGGGAGAGAACATGTGTGATGGAAGAGAGGAGGTCAGTATTGGGTGCAGCTCACCTCACACCCCTATCCCAGAAGGCGCTGCAGAGAGGGAGTTTGCATTACGTAAAGGGAGGGAGAAGGGGGGTGGGGGGTGGGGGGGGCAGGTGGTACTATGAAGCACACAAAGCCTCCCTACGCAGCCTGTGATCAACAGTCCTGTTGGGCTGTTAGAGTCCACGGTTAAATGCTCCAGTGACTCTGGGGTCCCATGACATGATGAAAAGTTTCACAGCATTCAGTAATGGGGAGACTATTACACTAGTTTCTACGCATTGTGTTGGACGGCCACGTCAGAGGATGACGGCATGCCATAAATCTTCAGAACAAAAGGAGTAAACTGGGGGAGCAGCATCTCTCTGAAGGGTTGGAGGAGAAATTAATGTGGTATATTAAAGATGAGAGTTCCTAACCAGAAATCAGTGCTGATAGTGACATCAGCTATGTTTGTCTTCCCGGAATAAGATCGCTTTCTCAGTTTTTTTTATGTTTTACAAAGATAACTGTGAGCCATAAAAACACAAGTCTATGTTCAGACAAATCTAATTAGAAGTCTAATTGGATACAATGGTGTTGAAACAAACTGCCATGTACCCTCAGTTTCCTTTGATGCAGATATGCAAACCTACATAGTGGGATGAACACTGCTAATTTGTTGGCATGCAGCTAACAGTTTACTTGAGCCATATTCATGTTCAAATTTGAAATTGTTTAGAGAGCAATCCCTTGTAAGCTGCTCAGATGAAAGTGTCTGTCGTAGAAGGGCTGAAAGTCACTGGTATTAAAACAGTCTCACAGCACCTCCCATTGGTGACTCCTGCTCAGTGCATACAAAATGCCTTATAGTTCATTTTAAGTGAACACAGAAACAGACTATGGCAGGTGAGCATAAGGTGTTGCAAAAATGTTTAAACTGATTCTAGGTTTGTCACTATATGATCCAAACGAAATAATCAAATGTTGTGTCATGTTATAAGAGTTAAAATTATTATTTGAGAGGTGTGGAGTGGGATGAGAGTTCAGGGACCACAAGCCAGCTCGCCTGAAACCATCCGTGAGAACCTTCTTTCTCACTCCCACCAGTTCAGTTTCAACAGTAAGTCCTGTCACCAGTAAAAGTATGTGCCCTGGACTGATAGCAACTATCCAGCAGAGAATTGCAACTAGAGAAAGGAGAATCATCCGCAGCTCAGTAAGAAGAAGAGGCTGTTCATCTCCAGCAGAGTGAGAGAGCTGACTGAGTGAGCATCTGGAGACACCACACTCTTGTACGTAAAATGTTAACACAGAGGCACTGAGCAGCAAGAAAACACAGTAAACTGTTTTTCTTGGTGAGTCTCGGGCTTTTCAGTATGCAGCAGCACATTGTCATCAATTGTTCCTTGAGCATCATTAAGTTTGTTGTTCAGAGGAGACAGCATGAAGACAGGCGAGAGGCCAACAGGATAAACAGACTTTTGAAAAGGCTGGATGTCACAGGGCTGAACCTGACACCCTGGAGACAGTAACACACACATTCCATTACCTTCCCTGTAATGAGCTAATGCATGAAGCACCTACAGGTTCCACCTCGGACCTCGAAGGTGTGATAAGAAGCCATTGTGCAAATATCAATCACAGCTTTGGTACTTTCTGACCAAATGGCCTCAAACTGAGGCAGCCAGGGAAAGCTGAAACAGCATACTGATACCGCTGACACAAAGCCAGCAACCTATGCTTTGGAATCTACTGCAGGATATGACTCTCCTTCATATACAGCGTGTGGCACCTGGTCACCTATTAATGTAAAAAGAAGTTAGAAGAACATTTTTGCATATTGTGCAGCAGACATTTCCTTTTTTTTTCTTTTTACCAATACATTGGTGTTAAACAACTCTTCTTTAATAATCGACAAATGTCACTGTATTTGTCTTCATCTTGCTGTCAGTGACACTACTGCTGTTGATTTACATATCTTTACTGGAATACAGATTATCCACAAAATGTACTGTACATAACATGTCCAAGTACTGCATTTTTCGTGTGTAGCAATTATTTTCTCTTTCTTTCATTATATTTTCCTCTCATGTATCAAATTAGTTTGTTGCAGCAATGCCTACACTATAATGACCCCATTGTATCATTAAAGTTTAATTGAATCCACTCAAATCTGAAAGTTTTGCCAGCTTGCTGTGTAAACTGGAGAGGGCCGTGATGAAAGTCAGTGCAAAATTATCACATTAAGCTTAAATACAAAACAACCCGAGATGATGTAATTCACTGAGCGAGAGGGTGAACATGATTCTTTATGTTAAAAAAGCTTATTAACTGCAGGAGAATTCGGGACTCACTTTCAAAGAATTCTGATCCAATTTAGCTCTTGGGAGGTCAAAACAATCAGGCGATTTCTTGTTTGTGTGCGTGCGGCCTGCAGAGGTTTTGCAGAGAGAAATCCAGCTGGTCGTGTAACCTATAAATCAAGCACACAGGAGTAAACAAGAGCACTTAATTGAAAAAGTACTGTGTTAAAGTTAAATCAATCCCTGGTTCAGATCTAATTGGCAACCCATGTTGCTCTCATTTATTGTCAGCTGTCTACTGTCCACTATCTCCTAAAGAAAAAAATGTCCCCACTCTGAGATTCTGATATCATAGAGCCTGACTAATATTATAGGTGTAACTTTACGTGCCAGAGAATAAGTAACAAGAAACTGCAGTATAGACATTCCAAAGATGTACTTATGGGGATTTAGAAACACTGTTGGAGTTGCATTTTGTCCATCAGAGAGAAGTTATAAGTTTGTTTTTCAACTGTAAAATATCTTAGCTTAGTACAGTACATGCATTGGTCACTTATTTGATATTAATTATTAATTCTGTTCTATTTAAGTGCCAGCAAACTGAATTCAACCATCATTAATCTGGGAACTTTACAATTAGACTACCCTTATAAAGGATTTATAAATGGTTTATAATTAGGTTATAAATTCAGTTGTTAACACTTTATAAATAATAAATAAACAATTATAAACAAGTTATAACAAGGTTTTAATACATTGATGCAGGTTCACTATTTGGCAAGATCAAGTTTCATGCTTGCTACTCATTAATCTTACTAATGACTTACTAACATTCATAACTGCTAAAAGGGCTCCCTATTGTAAAGTGTGTCACTATAAGACTCCCCTCTACCAGTTATAAATACTAGTAACTCATTAATAAATGATGATTGGTTTTACACTTTACAATAAGGCTCCTTTTACGAGTTATGAATAGTAATAAGTCATAAATAAGATTAATGAGTAGCGAGCATTATTGATCTTCTTATGATTTGCACGTGCTTTATCTTGTGCTTTATCTTCTGTGACATGCAAAAATCTCGTGTGGAAAATACCTCATATATTGAGTGTCTTCTCTTAGAATATGTTGTCTATGTAGCTTTTTTTTTAAATTATATTTCTTTATATATTTCTGAGGGGAAGTAACAGGATCAATAATGGAAGGTCCAGGACTTAGTTGCTAAATGTATTATACTGTTGTCAGTAAACCAAACTGGATTTGGGGGGTTGATGGGAGTTCATGCTTTGCTTTGGTTATGACACAGCAGCTGCTGCTTCCCTTAAACCCAGGCCTAAATGAACCCACTACATTAAAAGTTCTATTATGTTTCATACTGTGATAAAAAAAATTATTATCTCAGATAGCGAACCATAACGACGGTGCTCTGGTTGCTGTAGTGCGGTGAATCGCTCCCCGATGCCACTGATGGATAAATCCAGGAATGGTAGTCGATCGCAGACACGGGCAGCGGTTAGATGGAACATGGCTCTCTCCAGAGGTTTGAGGTGCTGTCAAAGGGTTTTCTCCTGGATACCTGTGCTTATTATAACCTCCGTGGTGTTGTGGTCATACTACGCCTACGTCTTTGAGCTATGTCTTTGTAAGTACGACAAACTGTGGTCCTTTGTTGTGATTTTGACCGTTTAAAGTGTAGACATCGCAGATTGCCGCACAGCAGTGTTGACAAAAATAACGATATAGACAGAGCAGGAGCTAGCAAAGCAGGCGGAAGTGGTGTAGGGTGTGTGCTTTTATTTAACTGACGAAAAAGGTAGCTTTTAAAAAGTGACTCGTAATTTCATTTCTCATTGACGGTAAGAGGTCAGTACTATCTGTTTATTCATAGAAATACTGACTGTTGTTATGCCTCTGAGGTACAACCTGTCAACCTGGCTAGTCGTGTTAGCCAGTAAATGCTGTTCCTCTTTTGAATAATCAAACTGTTGTTAGTACAAACAGATAGCTACACTGTTTATTTGTCTTTAGCATCCGGCTTGTGTTTTTATGCTATTTTCATGTGTTTTTTTACAGTTACACTCACCAACACATTGGAAAAAGGTGAGTTATCCACTCATGTTTGTGCTACAAGCACGGTGCCCCGCTTAACATTAAATTAACTTTTATGCCATCGTTCTTTTCGTGTGTATTATTGTGACTGGTGTTTTGTGCTTTCAGTGGTCTATCTACTAGTATTTCATGTTTGCTTTGTGATGTTCTCCTGGACCTACTGGAAGTCCATCTTTACCCCTGCTGCATCACCATGCAAAAAGGTATCTTGAACACAAAGCGTGAACGTAAATTTATTTACTTGTTGTATTATGAGTAAAGTTTTTAATATAAATGTGTTGTCGATCATGCTGCGTGTTTATTGCTCTAGTTTCAGCTGTCATACTCAGACAAGCAAAGATACGAGATGGAGGAGAGGCCAGATGCCCAGAAACAAATCCTGGTTGAGATTGCAAAGAAACTGCCCATCTTCACTCGAGCTCAATCTGGAGGTAGATTTCTGTGAAGTAATTCATATTTTCCTTCATATGGTAGCTGTTATTCACTTACTTGCCATATCTCCAAACCACTGGGGTAACAAGGCAGGTACATTAGCCACAGTCCGTCATCTCACACATAATCTGTGCGTTGAAAGCAAGTAGGAACGGGCAATTAGCTTTGTGTGTGCTCCTGAGCATCCCCGTCCACAGTAATCAGCCAATGTATCTCTTTCATTAGTGCTGATTGCTAAGACTAAGTTCAAGGCTGCAGGAAGTAAGTGAAGGGTAAGCTCAGCTCAAATGTCGTTCATTCAACTGGCCATCCTCTTGTCTCCAGCTATCAGGTTCTGTGACCGCTGCCAGGTACTGAAGCCTGACCGCTGTCACCACTGCTCAGTTTGTGAAACGTAAGTCACCCTTTCCTCCCCAGTCCATTCATCTAGAGAGATTGCCCTAGGCAAGGAGATATTTGTTGGCCAGGGGCTGTTGTGATAATTAGAAGGTGTTGCTTTGTTGGCACACTGTCTCTTAATATCCTAATGATCAATCAGAACAACGGTTTATCAAAAGGAATGAGCAGACCCCTGTAAGAATACAGGTAAGGATGGATGTAATAAAAACAGGAAGTCAAGAGTTTTATCGTGTGCAAAATCATATTAAGGTATTTACTGCTTCGATAGTTGCTGTGTTGTCAAAATGATATGTAGAAAAAAATGGCCTTTTTATGTTTTTCTTTTAAAGATGTGTGTTGAAGATGGACCATCACTGTCCCTGGTAAGTTGACTTGCCTGTATTTCCTTGTGAGAATAATTTCATTAATTGATTTTGTTCTGACACCAGAACTTCTTTTTCTTTAAGGGTGAACAACTGTGTGGGCTTTTCCAACTACAAGTTTTTTCTGCTTTTCCTCTCCTACTCCATGCTGTACTGTGTATTTATTGCAGCAACAGTCTTTCAGTATTTCCTCAAATTCTGGGTGGTGAGTGTCATTTGTCTAAATTATTACTCATGCTTAACATGAGATAATGCAGTCATATGACAAGTTTGAGTTGTAGATATTCAGCACAAAGGCACTTGCACAAGAACAGAGAACTAAATCCTTTGTCATAAATTATGCCTTTTTAAAGCCCATCATTTTTCTCAAGTTTCTTGTTCTCCTGTTTCTCTCTCCCAGGGGGACTTGCCAAATAGGCCCGCAAAGTTCCATGTCCTCTTCCTTATGTTTGTGGCGCTCATGTTCTTCGTCAGTCTCATGTTCCTCTTTGGCTATCACTGTTGGTTGGTGGCCAAGAACAGATCCACTTTAGGTGAGGGTTTACATATTTATTGGAAAACTCCTTAGATTCTGCTCATTAAACTGCTTTCTCATTGCCTAAATGACAAGTGAATCATTTGCTGGAGCTCTTTTTTTGTTATGAATGTAAGCCCTTTGTAAAAGTAGATGAGGAGAGTTGAAGCATGAAAACATATTCTGACCCACATGTGTTTTTCCTTTTCTAGAGGCCTTTTCAGCTCCAGTTTTTGTCAATGGACCAGACAGAAATGGCTTTAATGTTGGCATACGCAAAAACCTGCAGCAGGTATTTGGAGAAGATCGAAGACTTTGGTTCATCCCTGTCTTCACAAGGTGAGTTTGCTGTCAAGAAACAGCGAGCTAAGATGCATAATTAGCTGATTCTCCTCCTGCTGCTCATTTTGCATTTGTTATGCACTCTTGAATTTTAGACTTAGCTCTATAAAGGAAAAACAGAATTAAAATACTGAACCACCAGAGGACATCAATACCATACAAGAAAGATGAGCATAGTAATTAAAATAATCACAGCTAATGAAGAAACTGTAGAATGAGGGATTGGATCAGTGGATGGGATTAGGTAATGGTTATGGTTCCTTAACTAGCTTCCGTCTTCTTTTGTACAATGTGCATATCAGCCAAGGGAACGGCCACTACTTCCCCTTGAAGAATCGGAGTTCTGAGTCCCAGAACCCCTTATTAGCTAATGAGGACATGTGGGAGGAGTCAGATGATGGCTCTGAAGAAGGAAGCTTAGGTGAGTCATTTTAATTTTGTCATATTTATATTTCTACACACTCGCTGTAGTTCCTAGAACACAAATGCTTTTCAGTATCTTTAAAGCTTCAGTAAATCAGTAATTTTCTGCATTGTAAATCATTTTTCTTTATTCAAGTTGAAAATGAAAAAAACAGTATTTGCAATTTCAACCAGGACAGGTGACACCTGATAAACTGGATCACATCTCTCAGAGTCTGAATGTTTAAGAGTTGAGTTTTAACCTCAGTAAATGTGGCAGTTTTAGTGTTTCACCATAATATATATTCAATCCATAACAATATGGTAAATTAGTGGCAGCAGAAAGTAAAATTTTGAATGTGAGCTGTTTGTCTTGCCTCTAAGCTTTCCATAGATGAGATGCAAGCCAATGCCTTTCTTGAGTAAGCAAGTTTTGCCAGGAATTTTTTAAAATGTTGAATCCAGAGCTGAAACAATTACACAATTAACTGATTTCTCAATCATTACAAAATTAGTCAGCATCTATTTAGATAAATTGTCAATTGTTTAAGGTATTAATCAAACAAAAAATGCAAAATAATAAATAATCAATTAACTGAAATAAAGTTTATTAGTTGATAATTGATAAAATCATTACCTGCTACGTTAGTTGAAAGTGAAATTGTCTTTGAAAGAAAGTAGTTCACTTTAACTGTGTCACAGGAGAGTGCTCACAATTAAACCATAACATGATATTGATAAAGTGAGTTTCAAACAGTTGCATACTAAAAAGGTGCAACTCTTAATGGTTCTTTTGTGCTGCTCTATGTCCTACTATGACCTCTATAATAAGTATAAAAAGTCCTGCTAATGAGGTTATTATGTTAAATGATATATTACCCAACTGGATAGTATCTTCACTTAATAAAACATGGATGACGTTGTTATTATTATCACTGCTAATCTTGCTCTAATTAATAACTGTAATTTTGGTTTCGTTGTAATCCCCTGATGTACTGTATGTACCATATTTAGAAACAACCAACCAGCCTACTGCCTTTGCCCTTACCTTTTCCTTCAGAAGCTGTTAGCTTTCAGTTTTTTTTCAATCCATTAAAAACTTCTTGAGAGACAAGACCTGCATAGCTGCCTTCCCAAAGCTCATTATGTGGTTAATCATTGTTTTTATTTGGTAATTTTCACCTCTCAAATTACTTTGCACTTTACTTGTGGTGAGGCTGTGAAGTCAAAACAAAACCAAAGATAGAAAGAGACAAATGCAATCCCTGCTTCACTTTAACTGTTCTCTCAAGCCTGACACAACAGTTTTGCCCAAACAAAGGTTTCTAGATTCCTTCACGTCTAACATAAAAATGAATACAGATAGTGTCAAATGGAGGCCTACATCTTAAAAATTGCCTTAGTTGTTGGCAAAATTATTTCTAAGCTTCAGTAGTATATTAAAATGTAAAGACTTTACCTTAATTCATTTCCACTAGTTTGTTTTCACCAGTTTTAACGACACAAGCAATTGCTACCTGAACCTAGAAATACATCAATACATGCAACTGATCTAGATCCATCCTACAACCCCAAATTTTTCATAACTCTCTCGATGTTCCATTCTTAAAGAATTCATTTAAAAACTACAACACAAACCAGTGTTTTGTGTAGAAAGTCACCTTTGTACACTTTCAGGCACCTTAAGCGGTTGGCAGGACGACACACTTTAAAAAATAATTGAGGGGTGTGATTGTGAACGTTTTGTGCTAAAGTATTCACACCAAACTGATTTGTACAGTATTTGTTCAATTCCAGTGATCGGGAGGCATTACTCTGTATAATGGCTTGCTGTGTTTGGATTCTAAACATAATATTCTGCTACCACCTGGTGGTCTTGTGCAACACAATGCTAACTACTTTATGAGCTGAATCAGTTAAAACAAAAACTCTGGGGAAAAAAAAAAAAAAAGGTTCATTTAGATGTTGAAATTTCTTTTCTTTTTTTTCATTCCAGTTGAGGACCAAGATCCGTCTGTTACAATAGAGATGGAGGAATAGTAATTTAACGTAAGGACAATTTACACTGGTACAGAGGATGTAGATTTATATTGCACACACTGTGTACCATGAGGCAAATGCATTCCAAATCATATGGATGCTCAGACAAAAAAAAATCTGAAGGGGGGCCAAATGAGTGGATTAAAGCCGGCATTTGGATTGTCATTGCCACTTTTACCCTGGCATTTTACATCATGAAAAATAGAGGAACTCACTGGATGACCAGCGACAGCATCGCCTCTTCTCTCATGGATGGACAAACAACAGTATCAGTTTGATTCGGAAAAAAAATTGTCAAATATTACCTCACATACAAAAAGGCAACTGTTATTTACCACAGCTCCTATATTTGCTTCTTGTTGTTCATCTCAAGGCACAGGCCTCTGTGGGATTATGAATTACTGTTAATTGGGAAGCTTCTGTCTGGCACTGTGCTTTTTTTTTTTTTTATATGCCTCTCTTTCAGTGTTGGGTTGAGTTTACAGTGTTGCACCTTTGAGCTTGGTCTGTGCAGGGTGGTATCTAATGTGACCTCGCACCCATAATGCCCCAGAGGTCTCTTGTAGTGATTCAGTTGTCTGGCCTCTACTGGTTTAGATCTTAGCAGCATATTTACATAATATTTTATTTTATTTTTTTCAATGAACATAAGCATATTAGAATACCTGACTTAACCTGCGCCTTATTAATATATTTATACCTGTGTTTTGGGAGTCCACTTCTCCTAAGAATGTATCCAGCATCCTGCTTGTGAGTAGATTGTGCCAATGTTTTAGGCACCTATTTACGAAAGAACCTATCATATGTTTGAACAGAGTATTTTATCATTAACTTTTGAGTTAGAATGCCATTACCAATGTCTGATCAGACTAGTGACAGCAATCAAAACTAGCATACATTTGTAGTTTTGGTTCATGTTACGTTTGATAATTAAAGATGAGAGTATCTCAGAGTATTATGGCAAACTTAATATAATGTCGATTATTTTTGAGTGGAATCCTATCCTGAATATACTCTATATCATGACTTAAATGCTGGTGGCTACAGTGCTGATTAAAATAAAAATGCACTGCTCAGTTTTGACTTTTAAGTCTGGGATGAGCATACAAAACATACTGTGATAAACATTTTTTAAATTAATTATCACAATCTTGTTTTCTACCATATCATCCATCCCTATTAAGATAACACTGCTGTGTGGATGCAAAGTGATAAGAAAGTGAAAATAGCTTTCATCATAGGCACAAAATCATGTATAGGAGAGGACATAGGTTTTTCTATGTCTGTTTTTTTTTTTTTTTTTCATTTTCAATCTTTTTACACATGCAGATAACTATATACATGAATATATATACTATACATACTATACATGTATATACAGTATATGTATATGAATAATGACTGATCCTCATCCACTGGTTGGTAGAGTTCAGTGGTCTTCTGCAATACGATATTCAGATTTTTTACTACCTGTGTTTATGTATTTTGAAATTGTGAATACCATTGAAACAGATTCTCCTTATCAAGGGTGTTTGGTTTATGGACTTGTGTATTTAGCCAGTGTACTTGATTGAAAACCATTTCCGTCATTGAGTTTATCCATTTATCCATCATGAGTAAAATGTTAGGCCTTTATCAAACCTCTATGCTGTATGATCTTGACACTTTAACTTGCTTCATCAGATCTGTTTTTCTAATGAGTTGGGTAAGCCAAATCAAATGCTGCTCATATCTGAGAAATACATCAAGTCATTTATTGATTGAAACTGTGTTGTTTTTATCTTAGGTATGATTCGGTGTTTGAAAGCATGTATAAAACATTAGGAAAGATGTGGATGTTGAGTGTTTCATGTCGTCTTGTGTCTATTTATTGTTATAATGTTCAGCTTTTTTCCTGTGTATTGAGTTTACTGATTCATAACTGCTGCAGGCGGTGTCTGTTTATTTTGCTCCATCAAGTGACACTTAAACTATTGAAGCAATGTGCTTTTATCAAATAGTAGGATATTTATAAAATGAGAAGATGACAAATTATACCCATTTTGCAAACAGGAAACAGGAGTTCAGCATTGCTAGAGCATATATGGTCCCTTTTGAACTGTCTTTGAAGTATGTGATTGTGGCGCTTCCCTTTTTCAAACGCCTCTGAACCACCAAAAAAACTGACACTGTTTCATTTGCTGTTCTGTCTGTTAACAAATATAAATTCTTTATTGATTCATCAGTTGTTGTAACATGCAAAATAAAATGCTCCATGTTGAACTCTTTATGTGGTTCAGTGTTGTTTTCTTGTATTCGCAGAAAAAAAGCATTACTACAATTAAGATTATTAATTTTGTATCATTCTAGGAACTATGGAGATAATATTGCAGTATTTATTTTGGCACAACAAGGAGAACATGAGATACATTTAAATAAACAACAAAATATACTCAAAACAGATTGCCCCATCATGTTCCTCACGTTGTCTTCTGTTTAGTCAGTGCCAAAGTACCTCTGTCCAAAATGTGTCGGAGCCACTGGGTGAACCTCTGTGGTCAAGATGGTGATATCTGGGAACTCCTGGATTATAGATTTGGCTCCTAGAAGAAAAGTAAAAGGTGTTACTTATGGGATAGAGTTTTACAGGTATTAGGAGTTGGTGAAAATGCTAGTTGAAATTAATGCATTTGTTATTTAAGAAACTGGCAGCCAAAATTAACCTTTCTATGGTTAGGTTGTCATGAAATGTGGTACAGAAATGAACTTGTCCCCAGAGGATCCTGTTTCCCTCAACTTTTTGCTGAATGCTGTACTGCATAGCCAAACATTTTCAAGTTGCCCAACATTGAAGCTCTTGACAGGCTACTTCAAAAACTTGTGACCACATTCCTGTCAGCCTTAGCTGCACTGTATTAAATGAGCCTTGCTACTTACACTACTTGAGGTTGACAAAACACTGCAAAAACAAGTTCAAACTTCATATTTACTTAAGTGTTAGAGTAAATACTCATAATGGATGGTGTGCTAATTCCTTCAGCATTACATAACATTATCCTCTCAGTATGCTAACACTGCAGTAGCCACTAGGAGGCTTTAGATAAATGGAAGTATTAAAACGCTTTTTTTGTTTGCCTTGAGGAAAGTCTATGGGGTTATTAAAATCAACAGACTTCATCCTCTTAGGAGAATTAAAGGGCTTAGAAAATGTTATGGTAACATGCCCTTCAGATTTCAATATCATGTTAAAGTGGAAATTTTGGCTCAATGATGGCAGTTAAAGAAAGGTCAAGGGCTTAAAAAAAAACATTTGAAATCCTTCTCTGGGACACCATGAATATCCACATTAAATGTCATGGAAATCTGGCCTGTAATTGATGGAGAGACAACTCCCAACGTCCACAAATTACCCCATAATTTCCAATATTATATTTAAATCCTTAAAAATTGCTATTTTTCCTACTACTATTTATATTTAAAAAAAAATTTAAATAATGAAATTTCTTAGTTCATTAATTTAACCATTGTTGGTTGAACTGCTTGGCAAAACTGATGATTCGCTGCGCCGCTCAACAGCATTGTGGTTACAAGCAGTATATTGTATAAAGACAATGATACATCAGGGACAGAAGTGGAGAGTAGACTGGGGACTAAGAGCATGGTCTGGTGGGTAAATGAAAGTAAATTGGCAATGAGCTGCACTTGCAGTGAGCTGGCTGCAGTGGTATACCGTGAGGCGTGGAGAAGAGGCTGAGGAGGATAATATGTTTGGGCTGCACTCCGTGCTCTATCAGCACCCTCACCGCTTCAATCACTGTGTTCCCTGTACCTGCAGACACAGGAAATTCAAGGTTCAACGTTTGATTCACATTCCACCTTTTACAATATCACTACATTTGCACAAATAAAAACTTTCTCACTCACCCCTTTACAATAAATCCAGTTAATTAAATATGATAAAATGCAAAACATTTCAAATTAATGGCATTACAATGTGACTATTTGCTTATAGCTGATGCATTATGTTAGCATCAGAAAAAGGTAGTGATCTTTGTGCTGATTGATCTGCCCATGAGTCTGGGAACTTGGCAGGCTTTAATTTCTGACCCTGTTGGCATGCATCAATGTAACCCTATGGTCCATCATTCTGACATAATAAAACATACTTTCAACCTGGCTTGGTTGACATCATACTTTTTTTTCAAAAACAGAGCAGAAAAATACTGCTTTTTGGCATCGGGAAACCAGAGCTATTAAGATACTATTTTTGTTGGCCCTCATTATGCTATTCAGCAGCTTGGTGGCTATCTCCCAGGCAGTGTATAATTTCCACCATGAGAGCTATAATTATCAGAACAGTGTGAATGGGCCTGTATGATGTGGAAATGCAGACTTGGTGTGAAGGTCAACGCAAGGAAGATTTCTCAGAACAAATAAATACATGGAACTGTTTTTGCATTTGCACAAACATGGGACATCTCGACATTTAAGAGCTTCTGAAGATGGTAAACTGGAGTCATCAGCAGCAGGATAAACTCTGCTTAGCCCTCTGTTACTTACTAAGGATGGGGTACATGAGCAGCACTTTTCTTCTATACACGTCTGGGGGGAACTTGGCGTAGTAGACCTTCGCCTTTTGTGTCTCTTCGTCGCTCTGGATGAGGATCTTGCCAATCCGGATGGAGCGGCAGCAGTCGCGGAGACCCTGCTCCATGGCCTCACCTGTGGGGAAACATACGGAACAAAATGGGATCAAAATTTTGTCCATTTAAATAAACGTGGTGTTTGGAGCCAGTGTTCCAGCGTTACTTTTATCATCAACACTGATTTCCAATAACCTTGCACCTACATGTGATGTGTGTACGACTAAGCCCTTTGCAGTGAGGCACACAGAAGGTCATGTCCAAACAAAAACCTGAAGGGATTCTTTTTCACCAGTTCTGTTGCAGTCCTCTAATGGTTCGTGGTGTGCTGATTGTTGTGATAAAAAATATACTTGAAAGAAAAAAATTCAAATTCATAGTTTATGATCTCGACCAAATTCAATGGGTTCTTCCCTGGCCCGTGCTCCCTTCCTCCACCAAGTTTTTGTGTAATCCTACTGACAAATAAACAAGCAAACAAACAGACACAGGTGAAAACATAACCTCCTTGGCAGAGATGATGAATAACACTTATAAAAGTCACTTAAGTGAATTAAATTTCGTATGCCTCTGAACACAAACTCTACACGTGTTGAAATGTCACCGTTACCTGGACTTACATTGAAAACGATAGGTGCAGATATTTCAACTTCCATTATAAATTGCCGATGTGTTGCCTTTAGATGTAGTATTTAAGATGCACTGTGTCGAACAGGCCTACGTTTTATATTTCAAGACCTAACATTACTGTCATAAAAGGACGTTACATTTTTGCATATGACTGTGATAACAGTCTAATTAAATTTGAAGGAGAAAGAACGAGAGTGAGTCAGTTCCACTGACTGCAGTGTCTCCACAGAACATGCTCTGCAAAGTACAGAACTGTATCAGTCTCATAACTCATGTAACATTTTTCTGATACATTATTTAGTACTCATATGATCAATCAATTTCACTGAGGGAAAAGAACTGCTGATAAAAAGAGTATAATCAAGCGTACACAATAGCCTGTCCAGATGAATAAGTACAGAACAGAATGTACAGCATCAGTGCACAGTTGGCAGAAATAGACACAAACTTTGTGCCATTATAGAAAAAAGACCCTATTTTGGTAGGTGGTTTAACTTACCACTTCTCATAATGCTGACTCCACAGTTGCCTCTTTCAAACTTGACACCTTCATACTTGTACCCTGAGGGGGAAAAAAAATGAAGAAGGAACATTTAACAAATGCAGCTGTTCTGAACACGCCCGCTCAGTTATATACTATGATGCAGTTAAAACACTAAAGGATGGAAGCCCTGCATTTATTTATGCATTTATGTTATTGTAATTGGTCTACCCTGTCCTGGTTGGTCCAGGAGGATTGCACACATTAGAGCTCAGATTCAATGTCCAACTTTTAAACCTGACCTTTGTTGTTAGAGAGACACGTCCTCACCTGTTGGCGTGGTCACAGTGCACTCTGAGTAGGGGAGCTGATTCAAGCCCTCTTCAACTACAAGCCTGATCTATTGTTGGACAAAAAAGTGATATACATTTTATAAAATGTACACAACACACTTACATTACATAGTAATGAAGTCATGATCTTACCAGTCGGTCAGCACAAAACACAAAATCTCCCCTGCTGGTTGTCCTGAAAAGATAAATATTAGCTTGATTAGATCAGTTGAAGGTTTCGGACAATACTTAGCACTGCTCTAATAACAGTGATCTCTTTCAATTTTAAATCTTTACCGCACTGTGTGGAACTGAATGGGGTCATCCCTCTCTGTGTATGGGTAAGGTAACATGAAGTAGTAAGGACACAAAACTTTTTAAGAATAAGAACATGTCCATAGACTAACCTTCTTTTGATGTTTGTGCAAGGTTTTTTTTTTTTTTTTTTTAAATTTTAGTGCTGTAGAGCGTTCATAAAATTGTGTAGTTGAAATTATTATTGATTATGACGGGGACTAAGAAAAAGACTTTAACCCCTTAAGATGCTGTTTCCTTTAATTGTCCCTTTAAGTCACTATACTCATTTTATTGCACAGTCTTAACTGTATCAATATACTGTTAATCTCTTATCAGCTTGTTCCATGTCTTCATTGAACCTATATAAAAAGCCCACACAGAGTGAAATATTAAAACCAAAGACTCTATGTTTCTTTTATGACTGCATCATTGCTTAACATGGAGATATTCTACATGTCTTGCTCAAATTTCCCTGAAATTCACCATGACATATTTGATTTGTTGTAAACTTTGCAACGTCTGCTGGAATTTAAAATTAAGGTCTGTAGGTTTGAAAAATGTTTGGCTGCATAGCATAAGTAGTAATGACTAATAAGGTGAGCATTGGCATTGATACAGATCAGATATCAGACTGGTGCATCACTACTTCACACACCAATCAAAATTAGGGCCTATTATTACCTACTACCTACTACACAGTATTTCTGATAGTTATATGAGATTAGAATTAATAATATTTTAGTCAGGATATATCTTTAATGTTGCCTTTTCATAGAGTTAAATGCTGCCTAAAAATCAAGTGATATGATTTCTTTGGCTTCTTAGACTGTTCTAGTCGAGTGAAATAAAGAGTTATTAAACTTCTGCTTGGCCATCATATTAATATCACTGAGGATATTTATTTTTTGTATTGACCATACACTCACAGATTATATTTACTATTTTATGTGAGCACTAGAGCTGAACAATATGCAAAAAAAAAAAAAAAAATCACATTGCATTATTTTGGCAGACATTACGATTGTGATGAGTCACGACAATATAAAAATGACGATGATGAGATTTTTGTTGGGTCTTGTACAAACTAGCATGTTCCCTTACGTTTGGAGAATGTGATTTGTAGGCTGAGGCACCGCTGTAGCACCACAATGCTTCATTTATTATATGTTGTGACACATTTTACCTTCATGAAAACCACTGCAGCTCCTGCGCTTTGGATAATGCACTCGGGCCATAATGTGATTTCGATAATATTTCGATTAATTGTTCAGCCCTAGTGAGCACATAACGTTTTGTCTTGAAATTGAACTGGAGGTAATGAGTTTTGAATACTGTAATAATACAAGTTTGCAACACGACCACTAGATTTGCTCCTGCGTATCGTTGTGGTCTGTATGTCAAGATGGAAGAGTGGGGACTCACTTGTCTCTGATTATAGTCTGTAATTCACGGATCTGGTCGTTCAGAGGAAGCAGTTTGAGCTGAGGGCCCAGGTTATCCTGGTTGACTGGCTGCGCGGTTGGATCACTTGGTTCAGGGCTGGTCAGCACTACAGGGACACTGCTGCTGTTGCTGTTGCTGTTGTTGTTGTTGTTTGCAAACCGTACTTGCTTCATCGGGTGCTCCTGTCCACTGACACCGTTCACATGCTGATCATGGCACAGCATCCTGACTACGAGATCAACGGGGTTTCTCTTAAAACTGTGCTAAGGCCAGACACCGTTTCTTGACCGATCGACCCACTTACTAATGATTCCACCGCTGCCTGACAAAGACGAGCAGCCTGACAACGTGTTTCTTTAGCTTCGACCCTTGTTTTGAAATGAGATTATCCGGCTCAAGCAGCTACAGGATGGGGACTGCCCATTAAGACCACATTCACAAACCTTTAGATACTCAATCACGTCGTGTTAAAATCAAACTAACGGCTGCTATTTCCTCTGGTGTTACGCAAAGCTGCTGCTCGTGCTCGCCTGCTAGCTTTGACACTGACAGCGTTGGCGAAGGCCGGATATGACGTACCCGGCGTGTTGACTGACCGCCTTCCTCCTTCGTCAACATGGCGCCGATGTTGGCACCGCTGAAATGTGGCTTTCACTTTCAAAGACGAAAATTGGCGCTTCTCCTTCGGCAAACGAGCTCATATCATATTTGGAATAAAAGCCAAAGTGGAAACGGGAGAGACCAAACACGCCACAGCACATATCTGGTGAGTAAGGACTCTGGGGAGGTTGGAGAGGACACAGTGTTTTGGTGCGACACTCACCACGCAAGGACAGAGGTGGAAAGTGTCTCTAACTAACTTTCAGCGAAGTTAGATATGATTATTTGGTCATCGATTCTCGTTTGTTAGCAAGAGTGTTCGATGTCATGTAAATAATAATAATGTCCGTCAAGTTAATGCTGCGTTGAACGACATCCGGCTAACTGGCTTGACTGGATATCAACCAGTTACGTTATCTGTGGAGCAGCGTTGTGTTTTTTAACACCACTGTGAACGGTTGTAACAGGGCCTGCTTTTTTTCCCGAACATTTGAGCAGAAGTCACTATTTACCGTGTTAATGCTGTAGCCGGTCAGTGGTCTCAGTCACGTGCCGACTGACTGGACTCAGTAAATGTTAGATAAGGCTGGGGACCTAACGTTACTGCTGATGTAACTGTCATCACGTGTTCACAGTCTGTTATAGATTATTTGACATATTGCACTTTTCCAGTTTCCAATTCATGTGGTACATACTTACTAAAACTGACGAAGTCAAAAGCCTTCCACAAAGTCTGACTCCATGAAGAGTAACATGTTCAGTTTCGAAGAGGTGTTCATTTACCTGTGGTCATTTTGAAAACTAGTTTTGATTCGTCATGGAATTATTTTGCGGTTCATTGCATCAGTTTTAGCTAGGCGTACCTGGTAAACTGTGAACTGAGTATATTTTATCTGGTGAGTAAGTTAAGTTAGTTGTTTTCGCTTTGGCTTTGAGAACCACTGGACTAAATGATAAAGCTATCATAAAAATAATAATATTATTAATAATAGGTAGTTGCAGCCCTAAATTTTAAGTTCAGTTTGAATTTTTGTGAAGCTCAGTTTACAAACTAATCACACATTTAGAATTAATTTATGAATTCAATTTATGACACTGGTTTAAGTAAGTAAATTTGTAAGATAATGCTCTTCACAAATGCATTGTGTATAAAGTGTCTACATAATGTGCAAAGTTGTCATAGATAAGAGGGTTGCACTGATATTGTGTCTCCAAGGAGATAAAAGTACTCAACATTGGCTAACCCATATCACCAATAAAAACACAGGTTAAGTTTAAGTTCAGTATGCTTATCTATAACCGCCCGCAATATATCTTGTATTATCAAGCACTCAGCACCTGTAGATGTCTTTGTTGTTTACATTCTTCATAAACAGTGACTGTGCTTAAATTGAGTTTTTTCTCACAGGATCACAAACATGATATACAACCGCATGCTTTGAATTTTTTTTCTGAACATCAAGCCACAAGCTCTGAAATGATGTGACCTCGTATTGCCTCCATTGATTTCATGATTGTTAAATAAAATGTCTGTTATAGTGAAAAAGATTTAGTTGAAACCACAACAAGGAAAATGTTTAGTTTGTTTGCATCAGAATAATTGTATTTTACCTTTTTTTGTGGATTATTTGTTAGTTCTGACCTTTCAAATTAGGTTTCAGTGTTTGTGAATCTTTAAACATTCATAACAATCAGTCAACAGAAATTAGAAACACCAGTTAAATGAGCCATCTGATGTGTTTCAGTTGAGTACCCCTCCACACTTACGAACAGCTACATGGGGCACAAACAGGAGCGACAACTGTCGTCGGATTTTGGAGGCAACAAAGGTAAGTATTTGTCAGAAATAATCAGCATCTGTTATCAAAATGCAACTCAGACTAAAAAACATATGTTGTTCCCAAAGCATTTGCAGGTGACAGACAAACGAACATGTTGGCATGGACATGCGGGAGGAGGGCTAAGCGCAAATCCAAAAAATGTGGTGAGTACAATACCTTCTTTTATTCTTTGATTACTGAAAATTTTTGTTCTACTATTTCAAAGGACCATTTCGGGATGCTATGTGGGGTTGCTTTTTGTGCTGATGGACTTATATAAGATTTCTAAGGCTGATATATTGATTTATTGTTTGATGTATTTTCATGAAAAAATTACATAGGTTTATAATGCATTATAATTTCTCCATTCATACTCTTTACATTCTATACTAAACTATTCCTTACTCGAACTCACATGACTGTCTGATGATAAGTTTGAGAAACCCTTGACCAGTCACTGAATTGCCCAATTCTGGGTATTTTTTTGTTTTGTATTTTTTTATCTTTTTTTTTTTTTGTACATCAGTAGTATCATCAAAGTAGTACGGTAGTATCAAAACTATCTGTTAACAATATGAAAATTTCTGTAGCATACATATCTAGTGTATACAGTGGCTTTGGGAAGTATTCAGATCCCTTCAAGTTTTGCACACTTTATTGTGTTGTAGATGTAATTTTAAGATTCAAGCTAAATTTTCTGTGTTTGCCCATCAGTCTACACTCAATAACCCATAACGTCAAAGTAAAAATTTAAAATAAAATCTCATATTTATGAAAGTATTCTGACCCTTTGCTGTCTTTACAGTATGAAAGGGTTTAACTCTTAAAGCTGCATTAACTATTTATACATTAAACAAAAAACCATCATGAAGTTAGAGTAACAGACTTTTATTATACATTAATTGGTCTCCTCCACATATGGGACAGAAACCTTCCATTCAACTGTTAATGTTAATCCTCTCTTTGCAGTGGCACGTATAGCTTGATTGTGTTTGATTAAAGGCAGGTGTTGGGCACAGTTTCAGTGTAATTTGCTTGGAGGCGCTGCCATACAGCAGCACTGTAACATGGTGCCACCATATTGAGTGGATTAGAGGAATTACTGCATATTCTTTGGACTGCGGAGAGTCCCTGTGGCAGGTGTGTGGTGGAGTGTGGGTAAACAGCCATATTGGCACCAGTGGGCTCTCACCCTCAGCTAGGATGACAGCCCAGGTGTCTCCTAGGACTTGTAGTGTCAGGCTGGATCCCCAGGTCCACCTGGAGTCTCTGCTGTCGTAGCTTCTCCCAAATCTCCCAAGGGAGTCCTACTGACATTTGATGTTCGATTTGTCTGCCCAGAGAGCCATCTTTAGGTCATTGCTGAATGCAAAATAGTTTGTTGCTAAAATTGGCAAACATAGTATAGGTTAGAAAGTAAACATTACTCTAAATACTAACACCCACCCCCCCATCCTGTACTTTACAGGACAGACTAATGTATCAAACTAGGGGTACTATGATCTAAGATACAGGCCTTTCTTTTGTTTTCTTCTCGAAAGCTGAAGGAGGTGAATTCAGCCAAGATCCTGTCTGCAATGCTGTCTTACGTGTGGCCAAAGGACAGACCAGACCTGCGAGCCCGTGTTGCCGTTTCTCTGGGCCTGCTTGCTGGAGCCAAGGTAAGTTTATAGACAGTGTTGTTGGTATTAAAGAGGGGTTCTTAACAGTTTTAATGACTTGTTGTTTTTTGTCGTATAAAGCTAATTTCATCTGTTTGATCAGCACGCAGCAGTCTTATTGATGCATATACCACAACTGAATATATTTTTATTTGAAGTTCAGCCACTTCACTTTGAAGCTCCAGTCCCTGTTTCATATTTGTCCTTGGTAACACTGAGTCTTGCTTCTGCTTTCTGCTCTGTTGGTTTCTTCCACCCTCAAATGAAACTTTCTAACTATAGCTAATGCTTTCCCTGATTATATTAGGGCCCATTTTCTCAGATACAACTTGGTCAAGCTGAAAGACTGGAGCAAGACGCTTTTATTAGATATACTCATTTGAAAACTTGTTTATGCTTAAATTCTCTTCTGTCTTCTTTATTAAACATACATCATAACTTAGATAAAGTTTAATTGAGAATATTTATACAGTAAAACAGCTAATACAAGAGAAAAACAGCAAATACGGTGTCTCACAACATCAGAGCACTGATTTAAAGTGGTTAAAAACAATTAAGAAAAGTAGAAGAAAATCACAACCCATCATCCGTAATGCTGGTATTGTCCTTTAAGACACCAATATTTCTCACATCTGTGTTTATGCCACTGATGATGCTCGTGTTAGTTTTGACAGTGTTACAGGTAAAAAAAAAAAAACTGTGGAGTCATCCATATGTGCGAAATGATTATAGACGGTGCTGCTATTATCTCTAGCTTAGTGATAACTCGAATAACATTCTCTGCAGTCTCCACTCATCATCCAGTCCTTTGTGCATGTTGCTGTTCATTTTAATTTGTGCTTGTTTACAAAAGGTGATACATCATATAGAACTGGCAACTGGAAATAGCGATTGTTAATTTTTCCTCTGGTAAAACAGTTATTGAGATGTTTTACAATCAGACATCATCAGGGACGTAAATAAACAATACCCAAAATCCTAATAAGAATAATAAGTGATGTAAGTGGCTGCTGAGATAATGTCAATTAAAGCCACACCTTTTTTGAAGAGGTAAATCTTTTAAGTTCATACTGTCAAGAAAGAATGCATTCAACCAAGAAGTTTGAGGTATAATGAGTGTCCTAAACACTAGCTTGTGTTTTAAGAGAAGGCAGCAGCATCACTCTGGTTTCATTAAAACCTGTTTCACAGCAAAATAGTGCACTGCTAGCTTAGGCAAACACCAGGTCTGGTTTTATTATCAGTGAGTGGCATGTTGGAGGACAGGGTTAATATGAAAAGCCTGGTCAAGTGGTGCGTTTGCACTCTGGTAAGATTCTCTGAAGTCCAACAGCTGAGAGTTGGTTGCCCACACAGCATTGCTTTCATATGTTGCTGGAAAATGAACCCCCGGAGGACAAAGAGCAAACAGTGACATTTGTAAAAAGAAACTAGAGACCGTTTTGTGATGGGTCATACCAATCGTCACACCTGACATCGTGACGCTCTGACCCATGACTACTCTGTAGTCATTACTACATGGTCCCATTGCAAGATGGTCTATAGTTTTACCCAATGTCTTAGATTGGGGGGGGGATGATTGACACTAGGATACAGTTATCTGTGACTCAAAACGAATGTAGGCCAGGGTTATAAAGTGTGGGGGCCAGTAGCTTTTTGTGACAGTATCTTGCACGGCTGTGACACTATTGCCATGACTAAATCTGTCCACAGCCTCTGTGGTGGTTCCCGCTACAGTAGATGTCTCCAGGACCACATTTTACCATGATGACACACACACGCACCAGACAAGCCCTACCCTCCACCTCCTCTGAGCACATAGAAAACAAAGTATTAATAACAAGTACTAAAACATCAGAGTTCATACTGGCACAGGATCAACTAACACAGAAACACACTAAACTAAACATACAAAAAATAGATACAGATAGAAATCATAATTATCTATCTCTGTTAGTGTAACTCCTATATACTCCCTGTACTAAGGGGTTTTGGCAGTATGTAAGTAATTTTTTCTAATGCCATTATTGATGCCATCTCTTTGAATCACTTGCGTGTGGATGGCTTGCTCTAACACAATGCTTATATGAGCTTGTTGATGTTGAGAAGGTTGATGATTTTGAAAATTATCTATAATAATAGTGTTGTTTAAGTGTTAGACTCAGACTCAGTACAGTGAGTAGAATCTTAGTAAAGGCCAATTTCTAAAACACAACTAAGTTTTGGTGCTTTAAGATAAAATATTTGGAATCTAACATAAATCTTTGCTAAAACAATGAACAAACAAACAAAAAATTCTCAGCTCTGACTGCCTTTACTGAAGCAACATGAATGTTCACCATGATTACACTGTGTAAATAACTGGTGTCAGAAACGATGTGCATTTAAAAGAGATAGCCTTAAAAAATAATTAACTACAAGCAACAATCAGTGCATGATGTATTTCCTCTTCCTTTGTTGATGGTCTCTAATTTGCACCCTAGAAAACAATCACAAATTCTCAGTTCCTAAATAAGCTTGTCCTGCTGCTGCTCAGCATGGCTCCCTCTAGTGTATGCTAAGGAGGAGAGAACACACACATGCAATCCAATCTTCTACTATTTTCCTGCTTGTCTGGGGTAAGCCTCGATTCCTCCAGTTTGTCTGTTTGAACTGAAACCACCAGCAGTGTGGAGGCAATTTTTAAATCAGCTGCATAATTATGTGGTTACACTGCATCACCCCTCGCCACTCCACATTATCAGTGACATTTTTATTTAAAAAAACTGATTATATAGAAGCTGATGTTGTTGTTGGCCTCAAATGAAGCCCCCTCTGTCTGTTTGCCGGTCGGTGTCTCATGCTATAGACTTGAATTCTTGATAGCCTGAAGGGTCTTCTCCACAACTTGACACAGTATCTCTATTATGAGATGACATATCACTAGGTACAGATTGACATGGTGTCAATTTAATCTCCAGTGTTGGCTGTTAATGGATTAAAAGAGCACACCCAACCTTATCATGTACTAGTGGTAAATTGGGGACATGTTTTGGCCCTGTAATAATAGCCTGAGCCTTTTTTTTCTTGTTCTGTTGTCTTGGTAGCAAAGTAGCAGATATTGTTTTTCCTTGAGGGACTCTGAGAACTTCTATTGTCTGAGTATAATACCCATGTGTATAAAGCAAGATCCCTGGAGATGTTGCTTTTGCGGTAAAGTGGTGCATTTTTAGGTGTCCTTTTATATTAGTAGGGTTGACATTTTCTTTTTTTACTCTGTTTTTATATAATTTTTGTTACCATTATTTTGTCAGAATTATATCATGCAGAATTTGACAAGGGTAATGGAACAAAAAGAAAAGTTAAAAAAAAAAGAAAAAAAAGCTCTCCCCTGTGTTAGGGGTTGAGAGGTTCAAATGAAATGGGTTTCAAATGAAAATGCTTTGCTGTGTGCTGCTGTGTTCTCTGGCTGTCCTAATGCGCTGTGGACCGCCTAGCCTGAGTCACACAGCTGTCCCCGTGCTTTTAATTAGCCCTAATAACCATTTCAATTCCATTAGCAGTAAGCACCAGCACAGCCAGTCAAGAAGAATACACACTCACACAGCATACCATACATACATGTATACATATCCTTCAATGCACCTGAATAGGATATGTTGGATTTACTGCCTAACAACAGTGGAAATCCATCTTTCACAGCATGTGGGGTGCACATACATAGATACTGTAGTGAGGCACTACAGAGGACTAGAAAAATGGCACTGGACTATATTGAGCATATGTCTGTCTAATAGGCTATTTGAAACTATTTCCCCTCTCTTTTTTTTTCTCCTCCTCTCTGAATGTTTCCACCCCCCCTCTCTGCCTTCCCAGATCACCAATGTGACGGTGCCCTTCATGTTTAAGTATGCAGTGGACGAGCTTAACCAGATGTCGGGACACATGCTGAACCTGAATGACGCGCCAAGCACTGTGGCTACCATGGCAACGGCCGTGCTCATTGGCTGTGAGTCCCAGACTTGTATTGCACTGGCAGGTGCCGCGCTCATCAGAGGGGACTGTGGGACTGCCTGTTATCTACAGGATGACCTTTCCCAACACATTCATATCAATGCCGCTCCGCAACCTCCGCCTCCCCCTCACATTATTTACATTATGTGCTCTGCGTCTGAGTTCACTTCTATTAATCCACATGGCCCTCTCGTGAGTGCTGAGGACTTTTCAGTATGATACCTGTGTGCTCCCAAAGCAAACAGAGCTGGATACATTTCCAAAGCAGTGGGGAAGAAATTGCCTTGTCCTTTGAAAGTGGTTGGATATATTTTTTAGAGTTACACAGAGGCCAGGGATGTTTCTTTCACTTCATCCCTTGAGAGCAACTCCTTTTTTTCTCTTCTCTGTCCAAATGGGCCCAGAATACAAGAGGGGTCAGGGCTGAGATATAGCGGGAGTGTGAAGTTTCTTCCTGATTAGAGGATTTTTTTCTCTGAACTGCCGGTGAAAAGCGAAAATAAATAAATAAATATTGTAAACGTGACACCCACTGCAAGTCACTTCGGCCTTGAGCGAGATCAGCTTGGATGCAACGTACACTTAGCCCTGTAGCCACTTATATTAATGAGCCCACTTAGGTCTTGCACACTAATGCTGCCTCTTGAATAACCAGGGCACATGAACAAGACTCCAGACAGGATGAATTAGGATGACAAGGAAGAATGAAGGGTATGCTCTTAAAGAAAGGAATTGTATTTTTTTTGTTCCTTCTTTGCGACACTTGGGGCCTGGTACTTTGAGCCTGTGGTGATGGGTGTAATTTGGCAGAAAAGGTTGCACAGTGCTCATCCTACCTTGTCAGATGTGGACACATTGTTCATTAGAAGAGCATTCCTATTTAACGCCACATTATAGCCCTGTGAAGACCGGCAGACAGAGCGATTATTACCCTGACTTTGGTCTCAGCAGACAAGTCATGTATTCACACAGCTCGGTGAAATCACCACAGGAAGGCCATGTGTCATTCAAACACAGACTAATATTAATTTGTGACAGTCATGCTAGCCATCTGCTTGAATAACAGTTTATGAGAAATGTAAGGAACCAAATAACAGATGTTTCTTGGATTAGATTAGATTTGTGATTTTATTAAACTGAACTCTTGTGTAGACTCCATTTTAAAAACTCAAATTATGCAATATGAAAAAGGTTATGTTGGTTGCACTCACCCTCATCATCCCAGATCCACCAGAGAAAGTCTAGACTACGACAGTGGTGAAATTAAGTCCATTCATTGACAACTCATAGTCACATCTTTTCATGGCACTCTTATTAAAACCTCCTCCCCCTCTTCTAGTATTCTCCTGAATAGCCTGTTCTCTGCCACACACACACACACACACACACACACACACACACACACATTGAAAACACTTGTGTACACTCAGATCCCCTCCCTTCCCTCAGTCTGCAATGTGCTGGCCTGCCATAGTAGTGAGGCTTCAGACAGCATCCTGCTCTGTAATTACAGAGGCTTGGTGAGGCTGCTGCTGTAGCACTGCAGGGTTTGCAGTCCAGAGATGATGTGAAAAACTAGTCCCGCCACCTCATACAAACCTTTACTTTAGAGCAGGTGCCAAACATCAACCTTGTCTAGTGTCAGTAGTCTCGATATACTGTGTTGCTTCTTATAGGACAGGAAAGGTATGGGTCAGATTCTTGTTTTGCCGCTTCATAACAGTCCTGATGGTTTAGGATGGGGATAGATTCTCACTAGATAGCATCCAGCCCTGCTGTTTGAACCTCCCTGCTTTTCACAGTAGGTGTGCTAAACTCTCCGTCTCCTCCTCTATCCCAGATGGCGCATCACGGGCTTGTGCGGCCTTCTTCAACGAGCTGAGGAACACTGTGTTCGGCAAGGTGGCCCAGAGCTCCATCCGACGCATTGCCAAGAATGTCTTCCTCCACTTGCACAATCTGGATCTGGGTTTCCATCTCAGCCGCCAGACAGGAGCGCTGTCCAAGGCCATCGACCGCGGCACCCGGGGCATCTCCTTCGTCCTCAGTGCGATCGTCTTCAATCTAGGACCCACAGTCTTTGAGATGGGCCTCGTCAGTGCCATTTTGGTGAGTTTTAGTGTGAAATCGACACACACACGATGGTAGTCATTAGCTCTGGTCGTTAACTTATTGTAGGATACTACCAGAAACACTGCTTACAATTTTCTGGCTCTTATTTCTTGTTGCTGTTACTGTTTCGGTCCTTAATGTTAGCTCCGGACCCTTCCATCACCTTGACACTCTTCAGAGCAGATTGTACGGAAATTAATTTCGGGGATATTGTCTCATTTACATTCTAAATGGAATATGAATCCCCATGAACTTTTGGTGGCAACACAGAGCCCATTAGTGTCAATGATGAATCCCAAAGCTTTGTTGGAGCTTAATGTCCTCCTGCGGAGTATGCCCTGAACAGATGCCCCCCTCCTTGGCCAGCACTGAAAGAATGGCTCGTCTATAGCTTCCTGCCATTATTCCACTCTGGACCATAATGTCAGCTTGCCTGTAATGAGGGCAGACTCCATTGCCCAAATAGCTAAAGCATTAGCACGATTACTTCTTGTAGTTTCCCCTCCATTTGTAACACTCAATTTCATAGTGGAATGGTCAAAAACAGTACGATCTCAAAATACCTTGTGACGCCGGTGTTGGAGCCCGATGGTCTGATGCGGTTGCTCTTTTTTTTCTTTTTTCTTTTTTTTTGTCACAAAGCCGTCGAGTCACAGCTTGTAAAAGATGCTTTGTCTTAACTGTGCTTTTCTCTTCTGCAGTATTACAAGTGTGGTGGACAGTTTGCAGCAGTGGCCTTGGGTACCTTGTCAGCATACACCCTTTTCACCATTCTCATCACACAATGGAGGTAACAACGAGGACGTTTGTACTTTTTCCGTGTCTGTCTGTGATTCAATTGTTAGTTTTTTATTGCTTATGTTTGCTAACACTTGATAAAGATTCAGTGAGTATTTTTGGACTGACTCTACTGACAATAACAAAGTTCACACACAAGCTGAAATATGTACTTAAGAAAGTGCTTATGTCATTGTGCATGTGTCTCTGCATGCAGGACTCGTTTCCGGATAGAAATGAACAAAGCAGACAATGAAGCGGGCAATGCGGCTATTGACTCCCTTCTTAACTATGAGACTGTTAAGGTGAGATCCCACCCCGAAACACACACACACACACACACACACACACACACACACACACACACACACACACCCCTACCAAACACCCTTTTTTTCAGCTCCTGCTCATCTCCATTCCTCCTCCCTTCATCAATCCTTTGGTTTCTTTTTCTCCTCCTCTCTAGTCTTTTTCTTCTATTCACTTAAGCCAGGCACATTGACATGAACAAATATTTACTCGTCTGTGATAACAGTATTTCCCTGGCATGATTGCCACTGTCAGAATTTGCCTTTTAATCTCTCACTGTCTCTTTCTCTGACTCCCAACTCTTTCACACACAAACTGTGTCAAAGCAAGGACAAGTTAAACTTTAAAGTTAAAATTTATATAACTCTCGGAGTGGGAGGAGTGACATTTATGGCTGAAAGGGCAGAGAGTCACAGCCAAACTCGGCTATTGATTTATTTACTGCTATTGGTTTACTTTAAGGTTACTGTATTCCCCCTAGTTATTATAGAGCAGTGTCAAACGAATGTAAGCCCGATGTAAGGTTGGTAGTATGGTCGTGGAACCAGTAACATGTTTGCAAATGTTGCTGCTGCACACGCAGAGGGGAGCAGAGCATGTTTATACTGGATTAATTCAGTCACATTGTTGCCTTTAGAATTTTAAAATCGATCAGAATCAATTGAGGCAGTCCAACAATTAAACATTATCAGTATAATCTCTGTATAATTGAGTGATAAAATTCTTATAGTGAGATATTTTGATTCACAGTTCTTATGCTTAAAGAGACGACACCAACTTTATGTGGTAAGATCTTAAACATCCAAGGAAAAATATGTTGTAGTTAAATCCTAAAAACTGATTTGACTCAAAGTGATGGACAGGAGCCTTTTAATAAGGCCAGAGTGATGTCTTCAAGTGTCTTATTTTGTCAACTAACACTCCAAAACCTAAACCTATTCAATTTACTAACACAAAAGACAAAGAAAATCAGCAAATAATCACAATTGAGAAAACAGAAATAGGTATTATTTGGAATTTATGCTTGAAAAATGAAGATTATTAAAACAGTTGCTGATTTATTTCCTGATTGATCTATCTATCTGTCTATCTATCTATCTATCTATCTATCTATCTATCACTCTCTCTCTCTCTCGTTTTCTCATTCTCTCTCTTTCCTATTCTTCTACTCTTCTTCTCTCTCAGTGTGAAATTGTCTACTCTTTTTTTGTAAATGTCATGCCAGTCGCTAAGAACAATGAGACATTTATCACCGGACAACTCGGGACTATTTTCCTGGTTTAGTCAATGACCCAAATTGTGCCTCAATTATAGTTTTGGACTGAGAGTGTCTGCCACTGGAGGCTTTATTTTGAATAGAAATGTCTGCTGAGTGCCAGGGTGGTTTCTCTTGCAGACACTTGACCGATGTGATGCAGTGTGAGTGTAAATATTGCTGTACACTTTTTTCAGTGGCATGGTTATCCTAAATCTCTATCTTCTGCTGTTTCAAGCCTCTTTCTAGGTAACCTCATTGTACACAGAACACATACAAGCATAATCAGCATCCAGTTTTGGATGCTTTGTTGTCTGTTCCAGATATATTTTGGTACCCGTGTTATTTTCTTTGCTGTATTATTTTGCGTCCTGTTTTTCTTAACGTTTTGTTCTGTGTTATTTTGTGTCATCTGTGTCAATGCGGCCGGATTTAGCATCACTCTGAGCTGTGAGTGTGCATATGTAATTAGATCTCCGCCCACTCAGAAATCCGTTCCACTTTCACAAAGGGCTGGATGAGAACCTGAACACGGTGCCTTGCACTGCTTCAGCTTGTCCTCCATGTGCTACTTTCTTCCCTTCTCTCTCTGATTCCCTGCATTTCCCTATATGCAAATCACTGGCAAGGCAGTAGCAGCACAGCACCACTGCCGTTAGCTAGAGAAGCAAATCGCCCACTTAACCAGAGCAGGGAAACAATAGTGCAAGCTAAACAAACAGCAATATTAGGTAATTGGCAGCAGAGTGGAGGAGGGTCGTTGTTATGATTATGCTGTGGTTTTATGTGCCGAATTTAAGAGATGTGCTTGTGGCTGATTCATGAGGCTTTTTTTCTCTAAATGATAGCTGTATGTCTTAATCAAAAATAGTGCTTCTTGTGTGGCTTACACTTAATATCTGTGCTCTGTTGGTAAGCTGCTACAGATGCAATAATTCTTGTTCAACTTTCAAGTGTTGTTTAGGCTGTTCTTACAGCTGTAACTGCCTAATATTTTCTAAACTTTTGCCATGAGCACTATCCTCTGCCGAGGCTTCAGATCTTCAGCCTGCTCAGCAAAGCAGGCTCTGGATTTTGTTCTCTTGCCCTCCATGTTCTTTAAGATCAGTGGGGAGGAGATGAAGATACAGAGACATGAAAAAGTGCTTTAGAGGCAAACTGAGACCTATATTACAGCCAGAGTGGTCACTGAGAACAAATGCTGCCTTGAGGCAGGCTGTGCTAAAGTGTCCATCTGCCTGACACTGCTCTCCATGCTTCCTTAACCTTTAACCTTAACCATATTTTGTATCTTTCTATCTTTCTATCTCAACTTACACTTTCTTTCCTTTTGTAAATCCTTGTCTGTCTCCATGCCCTGTGCCCCCTTCTCTCCTCTGTCTCTTCATGTTCCTCATCTCTGCTGCAGTACTTCAACAATGAGAAGTATGAAGCTGAAAGGTATGATGGATTCCTGAAGATTTATGAGTCATCCTCTTTAAAAACCACATCCACACTTGCCATGCTCAACTTTGGCCAGAGTGCCATCTTCAGCGTCGGGCTCACAGCCATCATGTTGCTGGCCAGCAAGGGCATTTCAGCAGGTGGGTGGAGTAAGGTTTGGGGGAATTCCCCAGATTTTTGGAAAACATTCTATCAAGATCTGTAAACCATGAAAAAACACATCACCTAACCAGAATTTACCTCTTCATGCCCATGATCTGTATCTACAGCACAATGGGGAAGAATTGTGTATTTGGAAAAAGGAAAGCTAAAAAAAACAACCCTCAAAACAGAAAGAAATGAGATCAAAACACAGCAAGCATGAAAAAGTGGCACAAATAGGAAATAAAATAGCCCTGATGCAGAAAATGAAATCACATGGGGTGGAGATAGATTCAGACTGTAACAGGCTTTGTCTGCTTTCACAACTTGGAAGAAGAAAACATTTGGGAGTTATTTTTTTCAGATGCATACATGATACCATAGGTTCAGATTATGTGCATCTCTTAAAGTCGTTCTGTTGCTGTTGTGTAGGTACAATGACTGTGGGAGACCTGGTGATGGTGAATGGCCTGCTCTTCCAGCTCTCCCTCCCTCTCAACTTCCTGGGCACAGTGTACAGAGAGACCAGACAGGCCCTAATAGACATGAACACACTTTTCACGCTGCTCAGTGTCGACACCAGGATCAAGGTAACTTATTGGCCTGACATGGACTTTGCCACACTGTTGCAGTGAATCACAAAATGCTTTTTGTTTTCTTTTCTTTTTTTCCTCTAACAAAAGAGAACAACAGAGATGAACTTGTACACAATAGAACATGAATATAGAGTTCAGTGTAGAAAATTGAAAGCAAAGGTAAACTCCAGAACTCGATAAAGCGTTTTATTCAGACTTCTCTAACAACAGTACATAGTGTTTAATTGTATGAGTGGTAAAAGATTTTAACGCAGGACTGAGTTATTCTTCTGGCTGCATGACATGACTAACCTATCCACGTGTACTGTAAAAAATGATAGGTTGTAGTCAAACCATATAATTACGTGCTTGATGTGACTCAGGTGCTTCCTCATCTATTGCTGCCTGTAGTGCATGACATTACTTGCTGAATTAGTGTGATCTGTACCAGGACACATTGCAGCAGATTTCTTGGTGATTTATTCAGAGCATTTGATCAGCAGCCATTTTTATTGGTGCACTCTTAATTTTTACTGATTTTGTATCGTGTAACATTTTTTTTTGTCTTAATCATTTGCTCTTTTAACATCTACTGCACTTTATATGACTATGGTGCTACATGGTGTTAACCAGTCTATCTATAAATACACATTGAAGTTCTAAGTCATATTCAGATATATTAAAACTAGCTCCTCTTGTTTAACTGAACCATTAGAAATTGCCAAAACACTTCACATTTCAAACACGTAAGCCTGGTATTTCTTCAGTGTAATAGCAATCAGTTGTTTTTGTGAGACATTTCATTGCAGTTATTTTTTTGTTTTTTTGTTTTTTTGTTTTTTTACGCGACAGCCCATCTTGCGTCAGAAGAGCACACTTAAGTGCAAATGTGTGCCTGCTGCCTAACAATATGAATGCCCTTCCCATCTCCAGCCTGTAATTACAGTAGGAGAAATGAATCTGTCCAGTTATTTTTCACTCATCAGTAATACTCCTCTCCATTGTGATTCCCTGTGGAATAGCACTGCCCAGCAGGCCATTACTGTCTGAATGCAATTCTTTTTTTTTTTTTTTTTTTGTAGAACACATTGGCCTATTATGTAGATGTAAAATAATTTAAAACTCCCCCTCACTTGAAACTGCTTCACAAAATAAAAAAATATTATTTTGGCTTTTTTCCATGTGGAGGGGGGTTGGGTGAAAATTATCATCTGTTTATACTAATGGACTGTGAGTTATTTGTATTAATTGGCTGAGGTGGATTGTGGGTGATTATGTTGCTATTAGGTAGCATAGAAACGGAGCAGAACAGGCTTTTACTCTCAGGGTAAGGACGTGCTTTATTCACTGCTGACCTTGGCTGCATCTCAGCACTATGGCTCAGCTCAGTATGTACTGAAAGTTTTCACGCCTATTGATCCTTCAGTCACCGTGAAGGGCAGCGTGTGAAGGTTCAGACAGTCTTTTGAAACGACCTCTTGCATTTGGTGTGAATGTCTCTGCTTTATGCAGTCTGTGTAGGTTCTGTACTCCAGCATTATCCCTCTTTACAAGGTGTTGGAGTAACGTTGCATCATGCTGGGCGGCCTTCTCTGCCAGTGGCTGTTCTGTATCCATCTCCTCTGTTTCCATTTCGTCTATCTCAACCCTCTGATGGTTTGCTCTAGGAAAGGGATCTCGCCCCACCATTAGCCGTCACACCACAGGAGGCCACCATCCGCTTCGAGGACGTGTATTTTGAATACTTGGAGGGCCAGAAAGTCTTAAATGGAGTGTCCTTCGAAGTGCCCGCTGGGAAGAAGGTGGCCATAGTCGGTGGTAGCGGGTCAGGGTAGGTCAACTCTCATAGAAATACACTGTCAAATGTTTAGCCAGGAATGTGTCATCTCATTTGGATGTGTAGTCAGTCTTATCATCAGTAGACTACTGGGGTACAGCTCACAGACACAATGATGCTGACGAGTGATTTCACGTCTGGTTGCAGGAAGAGCACCATTGTGCGGCTGTTGTTCCGCTTCTATGAGCCCCAGCGGGGGAACATCTACATAGCGGGGCAGAATATCCGAGACGTCAGCCTTGACAGCCTGAGGAAGGCTTTGGGTGTCGTACCTCAGGTCTGAGACACACAAACACAATAAAATCATAAAATAAAATACAATAAACAATGAAAAAGTCATTTTAATAACAACACATAGATTGATTGTTTTTTTTGTATTTAGAGCTTCTTTGCCTTAAAATAAATGTACATGTGTCAAGAGCAAATGTAATATATTTGGGAGCTATTATTGATGATTATATACAACAAGGGGGCAGCAAAGAACAATGTAAAATTAATAGTTAACAGCGTTAGAAATAAGCTGAATTCAGATAGGTTTTCACTGCAGTGAGCTCAGAGGCTGATCTGAACAGATGGTACATGAACAGTATTTTTGTCATTTGTGTTCTTTCTCTTTCTCCCTCCTACCCTTGTCTTCGTATCTGCAGTCCTCTGTTTCTGTCTCTGCTGCAATAAAAACATTCTCTGAAGCCTCATTTTTTTTTTCATCTAACTGTGTTGTTGTCAGGATGCCGTTCTGTTCCACAACACCATCTTCTACAACCTGCAGTACGGGAACATCAACGCCACACCAGAGGAGGTGTACCAAGTGGCACGTCTAGCAGGCATCCATGATGCTATCCTCAGGATGCCCCATGGCTATGACACCCAGGTTGGGGAGCGGGGCCTCAAGCTGTCAGGTTTGCTACACCATTATGACTACTGTTTAAATATGGTCTCTCCGCACAAGCAAGTGAAAAGGCTGTGTGTTTTGTGTATTTCCCTGGATGGTATACTAAACTGAGAAAAAAGAAAAACCCTGGCTGGTAATAGTTTAATTCTGACATAGACATTTAGGAAGAGCCAGGAAATATATTCATAGAGTAATAATATATGATGTATTGTGATATTATATTGTCTGAAATTTTGATTCAGTGGTTATTATTTCATTAGAGATTAATCTCTTGATTATTTTCTCAGTTGATTAATTAACAGTTGGTTGTATACAGTGTCAGAAATATCCCAAAGCCGAACTTGACATATTCAAATTGCGTGTTTTGTCCAACCAACCGTCCTAAGTCAAACTATTCGCTATCATGAAAGAAATACAAAAACATTTAACATTTTTAAAAGCCACCACCAGTGAGTTTTTGATAAATGATTAAATCCTTTTATCACAGTAGTTGCTGATTAATTTGTTTTTCTGCTATCAGAGGTTGCTTTATGGCAAAATGATAAAAACTTTATGAGTTTAACAGACTGTTTTAGCTGTTCATCTTCATTACATTAATGACCTTTTCAGTGACTTACTCATTATCTTAAGAAAGCAGAAATAGTCCAACCCAGAATATCCTCACATTATTGATCATGAAGTTTTCAGTATAAATGCTTTGGTATTTGATTATGTCAGTTTTGTATAGCTAAACAACTCAAGGCAGACTTCACATACTTCTTCTACACAGGTGCTCAGAGATATCAAACAATATACAGTACCATAAATCTTTCACACACCGTCCTCCGTCTGCTGCCCAGGATACACTGTATATTGTCGAACGGTAGATGCTGTGAGAAATGACTGTGTCTGAAACATCAGCAAAATAAACTGAGAGACTGCAAGATGCAGCCTTGCAAGATTTAGGTTTGCACAGCTCTAAATGATATAATTATAATTTCTGGATAAATATGGCAAATGAAATAGTTTTTAAGTCTGTGATTATGAGCTGTTGTTTTCTGATTGTAGGTAATAATTAAAATTAATTTAATAATTAAATCTGACATTCTTTTATTATGACATTAAGTCATGAGACTTGGGGCTAATCTTTAGCAGCGCCTTCATAATTTTACCATTTTCTTCTGTGTAGTGTATGCACTTGGCATGTTGCCTTACAGTTATAGTTATCTGCATTTGATCTGCAGCGATATCACAAGACTGTGTAGTATTTGGCTTCTAGCATCACTGCAACTCATTTATCCCACGTAAACACACAGTGTGTGAGCACTTTCACTCAACACTCAAGATGCAATTACTGGCAGCACAGATTTCTTTATGTGGAGTTGACTGAGTGAGTGAGTGAACGGACAAAATAAAGACATGACTAACTTCTCATTAATTTCACTGCTGCTCTACGTGACAGCTGCCAGTGAGTTTGTGAGACGAGGGAGGGAGGGGGGCAGTCTGGGCTGTTAGGCTCCTAACTTCCTTCATTGCTGTTCTCCACTGCCAGCAATATTTATATCTGCTGAACGCAGCTTGCTTTCAAGAGGCCACACACAGCTCATATGTAATAAAGGCCGTGTCAGACACAGTGGGAGAAATCTTTGCATCCTGCTGGTTTTTCCTCACAGTTAAATTAAAGTGTGTTCTAGCCTGTAGCATTGGTATTGTTGGAGTGTTGGTCCTCCGTTTGAGGTGATTATCTGATGAGAAGGGCCACACAGAGGCCCGCTGTATCTTCACATATTTCAAACCTATTGTCTTTTGCCTGGTTTGCTTTTATTGACAATGTCTGTTGTGTTGTTTCAGGAGGGGAGAAGCAGCGTGTCGCCATCGCTCGCGCAATACTAAAAAATCCACCCATCCTCCTGTATGACGAAGCAACATCCTCCCTCGACTCTATAACAGAAGAGGTGGGCCGGACAGTGCAACATAACACACTGACAAACACAGGCATGCATACATAATATATCCACAAATGTCCATTCTGTGCTGCACGTACAGATTGGCACCTCACTCTGTCTGCATACACATTTAGCAGAACAAACACCCACTCAGTCACCTGGTGTAGGTACATGATAATTCAGCTCACTCCTGCGTCACATACCTCCTGTGACCCCCCCCCCCTACACACACACACACACACCCACACACACACACACACCCACACACACACACACACCCACACACACACACACACCCACACACACACACACACCCACACACACACACACACCCGTTCTCCTTTGCCACCTGCCACTCTTTTCACCTACTTAATCTCCAGCTCAGCTTAAACTCCACAGTCTTTGTAAATGTTACAGTTAATGAGAAAGTTCAGCATGTCCTCTCTGAACTTGAAGAAAGAGAGTGGGGCAGTCGATTTGGTTGTTAATTGTGATTTTCTGTTGCTTTTCATCACGATTGTGTTTTTAAATCATCATATGTAAACTGTAAAAACATATGAAGGTGGATGTTGCTGAGCAACATTGTGTTGACTTAGCCGCTTCTTCAAATCAAAGTTTGGAACTACATTTCATATATATCCTGTCATTCATGGACTTTTTTTCTTATTATTTTTGTAGACCAGCATTATTGCAAACCTGGGGAACTATTTTCCTTTGGATTAGAGGATACTCTTGTTAACAGAGTGATAATTTTATTTATCTCTGTGTGCTTCCAGAACATCCTGAGTTCAATGAAGGAGATGGTGAAGGACAGGACATCAATGTTCATCGCCCACAGGCTTTCCACAATTGTAGACGCAGACGAGATTATAGTGCTCAGTGAGGTAAGAACTCATCCACTTATTTTTTACTTGATCTTGTACCTTCCCTGATTAACATTTCTAGTCGTAATGTCAGTTCCATAAAAGCAAATTATATGACGGTTCAGAGTTTCCAAGTATAAACATGCGGTGTGTTAATTGCCAGTCCAATTAGACGATTTTGCATTGAAGGAAAAGATGCTGACCTGCACTCTGTGTGACCTTCAGCACACTGTAACTGCCAGCAACAAGAATTTAGCAAGTAGCCTGTTTTTGCTTCTCATTTATTTTCAGTTACCTTTCTTCAACGTACGTGATGAAGACATGCTTTGTTTAGCTTTTCTCATTAACTTCAACAACAACAGGACACTGTTAGTAGAAGTGAATGTATTATTTTCTCCATAAGGGCTCATTAAAGCAGTCAGACTCGACTGGCTGTTTTGGTCAGATGGCGTGTCTTGTTTGTCTTGGTGACTAATAATGTATGGGCCAGCTTCCCAGACACTGATGAGGCCTCATCCAGGACTAAACATGTCTTTCAATGGAGATTGCCATTCAAATGGTTCATCTATTCAATTTTTGGACAGATGTGTTTAAGTAAGGCTGGAGGTGCCATGGAGACAAAGGCAGGATTTTTTTTTTTTATGTGGAAACAATTGATCTTTTTGGTGCATTGTCACTGTATTGTGCATCAAAGAAATCTCCAAGACAAAAATGCTGCAGCATGTTAAGGGTCGGGCTTGGAGAAACTGTAAAGCACAAAAAGAGACAGAGTGAAGTCAGTTATCGTCTGGAAATTAAGAGTTTAAGAAATGTAACACAGGTGAAGTGACATTTTCCACCAGTGTTCGAGTCAGATAGGATAAAATGAGAGGAGGTTTCTTTGAACTGCGGCGAGTGAGCATGTGTTGTTCCATGTTTCCAGAGTCAGATGGCAGGGATCAGAGGGTCGTGGTGAGGAGGCATGTTTGCGTGTGATGTCGCCACGGCGTTTGGTGGTGTCACCAGCAGAGGACTGCCTGGGGTGCTCATTAAAATAACGAGCGGAAGCAGTCACGTGCCCGTCTTGGGTGCACTAAAGATGATGCCAACACCTCTGCATGCTCATGGGAGGTGGGGGAAGGGGGTGCCTACATTTGTGTTCGACTGTGTGGGAGGGATGTGTGTTTGTTGCGTGTGGATGCGTGTGTGTGTCTATGAGGCCATGTTTTTGCGAGAGGAATGCAACAGTTGTTGGGGAGGCGGCAGGGATTCAAAGCGGGGGGGTGGGGTGGGGGGGTCTGACTCTCCGCAGAGTGTGGTCAGATTTGTGTGGTCATGGAGAGATGCTAACTATAGGACTCTGTGTGCATGCCCCTTTCATTTTAACTTGATATGTTTAGCCATTTATGTGCTAATTTATGTTTCTTTTTGTCCTTGATTCTCCTCCTTTTCTCTGCCAGGGTAAAGTGGCAGAGCGTGGCAACCACCACACCCTCCTCGGCATCCCGGGCAGCTTGTACGCAGACCTGTGGAACACCCAGAACAGCAAAATCCTGAACAACAGCAAGAGCTCGCCCGAGCCGCCGGCTGAGCGCCTCTCTCAGAAGGAGGAGGAGAGGAAAAAATTGCAGGAGGAGATCCTCAACAGTGTGAAGGGCTGTGGGAACTGCTCCTGTTGAGAGAAGCTGCCACCTCCATGTCTCTTCATCCCTCACAGATGGCCTACGCTGGAATCCCTAGTCTGTGTGGTAATGGTGGGGGGGGGTATGTCCCCACTACCCACTCCAGCCAAGCCTCCACCCATGTGACTGTCCCTCCTCCTCCTCCTCATGTGAATAAAGGCCACTGCTCGCCAAAGTGAAGGAGGAGGAGCAGAACAGGGAGCAAGTGTGTTTAGCACTGGCTGGTGTCCAGAGATAGAGCTTCTATGCCAGTTGCCTCAGCTGAAGCCAAGCATAAGAGACCTTGTATATCACATACGTGTGTGTAAGACATCTGTTAGTCAACATGGTTGCCCCCCCCCCTCCTCCTCCATTTTTGACATCAGGTTTATTGACATCTTCCATTGCACTGGAAACAGATGAGAGTACACGTAACGACTTACATATGCCTTGATGTTGACACAAAATTTGTATTGATTACATTTTTAAATTATTTTCCAAATAAATTGAACCTATAGTTTGCTTTTTTATATTAAAGATGTGTACATATTACAATTTATTCTGCAGTTAGGTGATCACAGGTAGAATAAAGAACACAAAGATTGTGTTGCAGTATGTGTTCGTTTGAATAACACTATTTCATAAAGCTGATACTTCAGTGGGATTCAGTCCTAATGCGCGTTGCCCATTACACTGTTCTAAAAATATCACATTTGGCAGATAATCAAGTATTCTAGACAAATAACAACATATTATGGATGTTTGGACTCATGAATAGCACCCCAGTGACTTAGCAGTATGGCACAGTCACATTCATGTAAATATAAAACTCTGAGAATGACAAGAGTTAACTCTAATAAATCATGAATGGGTTTCACCACACTGGAGCCACATTAAGAGGCAACAACTTGAAAGCCTCCTCTGGGAAAATTTCACAGTCATATCATTTAGCCTTGGATGACGGGTCTGTTCCAATGAAAAGTCATGTTTGAGATTTTAACAGTGAGAAGACAGCTTTTTGGATTGTATGATCAGAATACAAAGACTACTTTAAGTGTTAATATTTGAAAACAGACAGTACATGTGTGTCCTCTTTTTCTGAGGGCATTTTTGGCTGTGATATGCACATTTTGTTAGGAACCTTGCTATAGTATTGTATCTATTAATGGAAATTTATTAGTCAGGTGTCTTGTACTATACACACAGTGTAAATCCTGTATCATAGTGTTATGTTGACTGTGTAAGTACACTGCAGACAGACAAATAAATGTTATTGTCTAAATAACAAGGTTTCCAGATGCTGTTGTTATGGTCAGGGTTGGGTGTGATATGACAATATCAATAAAAAATTTGTTGCACCATAAAGTAACTATATCTTTAATGTCTATGGTTGTATTTGACTGGTGGTTCACCAGTTTAATGAACACATTAGATGGGTCCTGAGTGCCAGGGGTCATAAGATGATTAACAAGCTAAATAAAAAACAAAAAACATTTCTGCTGTTAAATGGTGTGACATTTATCTTTGCTTTTTATTTATTAAAGGAATGGTTTGACATTTTGTGAAATACTTACATTTTATGCTTATATGATTTCTTCCTGAGAATTAGATGAGAAGATTGATACCAGTCTCTTCTCTGTATGTTCGATATAAGGCTATAGGACTTTTACTTCCAAGCTCTGTTAAATTTCAGTAGTGTGTCAAGTGTGCAGAGAAAAATTACCTTGTAAAGGAATAGTTCAACACATTTTGGGAAATCACTGTCATGTCTGTATGTTAAATATAAAGCTGCAGCCAGTAGCTGTTTAGCTTTGTTTAGCATAAAGACAGGAAACAGGGAAGCAGCTAGCCTGGCTCTTTTCAAAGGTAACAGAAGCTGAAGTGTTAAATCCAGGAACACAATAGTGATCCTCACATTTTCTCATTGTGTTCATTGTCTGGTGGACAGAATGACAGAGGATCTGCCTCAAGAATCCCTGCAGCTCTCTGGATCCTCCTCTGGGACCAGATACATTAGACGACACTCTCTGCGAGGCCTTTCGGCAGGATTATGATTGAAACAGACAATAACAAAAACATTCACATAACGTGACAGACCAAGCCCTGCTGCGCTGCATAGTGAAGCCTCCACCACCTCCTGAGGAAGTCACACATTATAGATGAAAGTAGACTTTGATAGGGCCCTGCTTAAAAGGAAACCAACTGGATGATTACTGGTTGGATGGGTCTCCTTTCATGCGTCTGATGTCCAGGCAGATGAGTTGATGTTAATGGCGTCCTTCTAATCTAACCTAGGAAGAGATTATGAGACTATTTATTAGTGACTCCCAACAATGTTCAGCTGCTGCCCCTAACAGGTTATTCGCTAATTATTCAGTGAACATAATTCACTATGATCTGCTTGGGTTCTCTGAGAGAGCCTTAGATACAACACAGCGCAGAATTTCTCGCTTTTCTCTGCTGAGGCAAAGCTTTGTGTGTGTTTGAAATGGTCAAGGACATAACACTCTCAAGTATTGAAGTTACTGAGCAATCTGAGATGGACCTACACAGGGGGTGTTTGCTTTGTGGCTATTTTTGTTTGAAAAAACTGTATCACAGAATCTGTTGTTCAATGACCCTTAATTGTTCTGTATGGCGTGCATGTGATTAGCGCTGTTGTGAGCTGTTTGTCTGCATGTCTTCAGGAGGTAATGAGGAAGCCATCTCCCTGTTTACAATGCAGCATTCTGCAGGCGCAAAGGAAGACAGGCACACAAAGGCCTCTAATAACATCCTTAATATGGACCGCAGCAGGAAAGTCAGCCCCTAATGCAAAACCACGACCTTCTATTGAAGGAGAGATTTTCAAAGAACATCCTGCTGATGTGCAGATAGGATGATGTCTTCTTGCTGCACCCACTCTTTCCATCTGTACATGGCTATATCTTATTATCCTGCATGCCGATTCAGACAAGGTTTTGATATGTAGTATCTCTAAATAAGAGCAGCTTCTCTAATCCCATGAAAACTCAGGGTGCACAGGTGATAAGAGGGGGTTCAGCCACACACGTCAAATCCCCACTGACCCTTCCAGGGCCTGTTGCTGAAGTCCGCCACACTCATTTTCATCAAGATAACATGCAGAGTAGGCTGAGACTCAGGGCGATCCCTCTGCACCAGACAATCAGCTCTCTCCCATCCCACTACAATGAAACTAGTATGTGGCCAAGGGCGTCTACGCCATGATGAATATGCATCAATGCCTCAGAGAAGATGTAGTTATTTCCACCGTTTTGTGTGGGAGTGTAAATTTATGTGCGTAATCCCTGTGTACTATATCAATGCTCCTGGTCAAAATGAGAATGAATATTCAAACATGCATGCACTTACACACACACAGCTGATCCTTTTAAAGTCAATAAACACAGATATAGTTGGTATTACCATCTCTGCACATATACAGTACACTGCAGATGATGCAACCTCTGAGCAGAGCCTGGATCATCCAGGCTACTCGTGTGTAATATGTATGCTTGCTGCAGATACTAAACTTATGAATGTCCTATGAATTTATCTTATACTCATAAGCTAAAGGACCTTCTTCCTTTTAAGAGCAATAAAAGTCGTTTCTACATCTGATCATTCAAAGTTAAATCGTCTCTATTTTTGAAGGTAGCTATACAATCATTTAAAAAAAATAAAGACTCCATGTGTTTGCAAAAGTTGTGAGCTCTGTTTCTCAGCACATTTATTCCATTTTCTACAAAACTTTTGGTATTTTGATTGAGATGTCACAAGCAAGCAGAGAGAAACCTGTAGGACTGTAGTACAGGCTCCTAAAAGGGAAAATCCACATTCAACAAAAGGGAATACATACAAACTAAATGGGACAAAACAGGTAGCAAACAAATAAAATAAAACAATTTTAAAATAAAACAATCACATTAAAACTTCAATATTACAGTGGTGTTTGACTATGCTAAGTTGTAGGATAGGCAGTAATGAAGTGAAGTGAAATTTTCAGCCTTCATTTAGACTTTATCTGAATGTGCATCTGTGACATGTAATGGAAGTTTGTTCCAGAGACAAGGGGCACAGTAGGCAAACGCATAGGCCTTATCAGTTAAAAGAAGAACCTTAAAATCAGGTCTGGCTTATACAGGTAACCAGTGAAGAGAAGCCAGAATGGTTGTTATATGACCAAATGTTTTAGTTTTTGTCAATTCTAGCTGCAGCTTACTGAACAAGCTTTAGACTTTAAGTAGCAAAACCAGGAAGACCAGAGAAAAGGGCATTACAATGTTCCTGGAAGATGCAAATGTATGGCATCATTTAATGATGAAATAGGTTAAATTTTGGCAGCATTACTAAGATGAAAAATGCTGCCTTCATAAAAGATGTGATATAAGACTGGAATGTCAGACAAGTCAAAAATGACTCCAAGGTTTTTGGTGGTGGAGCCGAGCTTTCAGAAATAACAAAAATAAATGTTTATATTTGTATCTGTTTTAGACTTTAACAGCAGAAAGTTCAAACCCATCAATTTTTCTGATAGACATGCCTCTAAATTTAGGGGTTGGGAAAGGTCATTATTGGCTTTACAGGTACACATAACTGTGTATCATCAACATAGCAAAAGAAATTAACACCATATTTGAAAATGATGTCACCAGGGTGAAGTATATAGATAGAAAAAAGCAAAGGGCCTTGGACTGATTTGTGGGGTACACCAAACTTTACTTCAGAAAATTCCAAGATAGATGAATATGAATGAAACCATGAAAGCACCATCCCCTGGATACCAATGTGTTTCTCCAGGCAGGTCAAAGCCTGTGGTGTCAAGAGCTGCACTCAAGTCAAGACGCAGCAACAATGATGTTCTGTCAGAATCAACAGTAATTGTTAAAAATTGATAATTCTGCTCAGGTCAGTTTCAGTAGAATGATGGGGCAGAAAGTCAGATCGAAATTTATTAAAAAGATTGTTGTTTGATAGGTAGGCAATAATTTGATCAGCGACAGCACTTTCAAGTAATTTTAACTAAAAGGAAGATTGGACATCAGTCTATAGTTGTTCAGAATTAATTTTTTTAAGGTTATTTAGGCAGCGATTTAGTAATGGCAGTTTCAAAAGCTGAGGGCATAGAAAGTAACTTACTGATGATATCAAGAATAGTACTCTTTTAATAAAGATAAACTTTTCTTTAAAAAGATTATACAGTGTAGGGTCTAATATGCTGGTTGTAGGTTTGGAAGCAGTTACCAGGCTGGTAAAAGCCTCAGGGGAAATTCCTTCTTACTGTGAGAGTACTGTTGGTCCGAGTCACAGCGCCTGCATCCATCAAAGAACTGCAGAGTTCATAGCCATCATTCTGAGAGGAGTGTGGACCAGTGATTTTATCTCTAACTGAGTCAGTCTTATTTGTGGGGAAATACAGAAAATCATCAGCATTGAATGAAGAGCTGGTGGCAGGTGCATTCTGTCTGAGTTTAGCAAGTGTATCAAACAGAAACTGTGGATTATTTTTATCAATGCTAATCAAATGAGAAAAATAT